CCAATTTCTATGGCCCGATCTCCTAATTGCTATGTAATAAAAATGACAAAAGCCTCTCCTTCTTATTAATAAGTTTACTGCTGTTGTAGCTATTTCATTCTCATCTCATGTATGAACTTCGCTATTTAAAATGCAAAACTTCTCTTTGATATGGTGACTTGGAAGAGCCAAGTCTAAAACCTGAAAACTGTGTGTCGCAGTTGTTACCGTGTGAGTAGACATTAAAACAAAGGGAGCATAATCTCACTAGGAACTTACAGTAATAATGCAGTACAAAAAGAAAAAAGTTTGCATCACCTTATATTTTTAGCAAGATAAAGAACTATATTATTATATGAATAATTTTTTAAATATAATTTAGATAAAATCTTGTTCTCTTTGAGGAAATCTAAGTCCAGCATCTGGACCACAAAAAGGGACAGAAATGGCCTTTACGACTATGTGCCAGACACTACAGATAATGGGATCATTGACCTGTTGGGCCACTGAAATAAAATAATAATGAAAAAAAAATCACAAAAGTTGAAAAATATATACTAAATATTTGCTTTTTCCCAATCTGCTTGAAGATGAGCATTTTAAATTCACGCCAAGATAATAAATCACTTCATATAAGCTCACTGTTTTCCCAAATGAAAAACAGTTTATAGGGAAATTCTGTTTTATTGAGAGGCAATTGATATTTATGACATTTTCAAAACCAGTTTTTATTCCAGGTCTGCCCCTTCAAGCTTTAATTTTATTTACTGCAGCAAGGACTCTGAAAGAGTTAGTCTTTGGTATCCATTTTCATAATTTCTTATAATAGTAAGAAACGTTCAAGTAATGTCCAAAATTAGACTAAAGGAAGCTGGGGATAAATTGGGAAGAAGAATCAAATTTTTTTCCCTACTTATATAAGAAGTAGACATGTATTATCTGATTGAACATTTGGATTCAGGAGCACATCTAGCACATGCCTGGTCATAAGCATATGCCATCGTCTCATTGTTTTCTCAAAATTTAAATCTAAAGCTGTAGGATTTTGATGAATAACATTGGAATGAGCCACATGGTGGCTACATGAGCCTGGTCAGTGATATTCAGCCCTTGTAAAAGATAGACCTGACAAATCGATCGCTTGGCCAATGAATCTTACATCATATTCTAGTAAGGGTGTTCACACACTGATACGAGTACGATTTTCATAAGCAAAATGAAGGTAGCTCCATAAATCAGTGCAGAAATCCTTACACCGTGTGGTAAGCTACTAAGCTTTGTGACACTACATTGGACATCGAGTAGAAAAGATTTGGGATGTGATCCTATATTAATATAAACTATCATTACTGCATTTACTACATCAGCTGAGAGCATGGCTAGATACCAAAAGCATTCTGAAGAGCTCTTTTCCACGGATGCGTTTGTTGACCTAAACGTGATCCTGCAAGAATTAGACATTTCAGCTTTGGGTCATGGGTGTACTGAAGAGCTTTTTAGTGGTTAACACTATGAAATGTGCCCATACTCACCTATGGTTCCTATTTCAGATGCTAAGATCATTCTACTGGCTTTTTTTTAAGGGTTATTTTGGATTTTTTGGGAAGAAATTCTATACAGAAGAAAAAAAAAGGTCAGGATATGCAACTCTCATAATTCTGCTCTACAGTATTATGCTGAAGAGACAAAGGCTTTCTCTGTTCAGTTTTGAGAAAGTTCAATTTATTTAATTAGCTATTCTCCCAGTTTACTCCAGTGTAATGCTGCATGTGTGAATTTTCACACTAGACTACATCTGGAACTTCACAGGTCAGATATAATTTTTAATTGTGTTACAGGTAAATGACTGAGTTCAGAGCCTCTTTTAAGAGGATAATAGTCTGTTTGCAAGGCTGGGAACAGATGTAGTTTTAGGAATGAACTGCATTTCACACTGACTCACATTCCTTCTGATCCACTGAGTTCAATGGGACCACAGGGGTCCGAAGCAAAGCAAAACTTGGCCTACCATTTCAGCTGTTTCAGCACAACTCTCTTTTGTGTCCTCTACAAAATTAATTGTCAGACCTCAGAGAAAATGTTGTCTTATTCCCTGTAAAATAAGAGGGTCCATGGAGGAAAACAGTTGCATTAGAGGAACACACAAATGACATTAAGGCTTCCTAGTTTGATGTTTTCAAACCTTTTTCTTTTCCTCTGCAAACAATGACAGTTTCAACAGGATCTGAAGTGATATTCTTAACAAATAATACACTAGTCTGTCATATGGTTAATATTAACGTCTCTCTATTCAAACATGCTGAAAACTGAATAGAACAGTTAACATATAACAGTCACACATCCTTTGCTGAGTACAAGATTGCATCTCTAACATGAGCTGAAGATATCCTCACCATTTCAGATCTTCATGTGTCATTCAGTCAAACATTTCATTCTCTTAAATACATCTCTCTTCCCCTCTTTCTGGGTTTTTCGGGGTGCTGAGTGAACGCATTCTCTCCATAAAGGCATTGCTTACGGTAGGGTTCTTTCTTCAACAGAAATCTTGCCGTGTGTTTCCAATATGTTGCCCAAGGTGAATTTGCAGAGTTTGGTAGGATTTGGGGGCGAGAAGACCTTACATTTGGATTGAAAAGATTTAATTTTGAAAATTGCTATTTGGGCAGGATTCTGCACTTTATTGCAGAGAGACCATCTCTTGATGAAATTAATAGTGAAGAATTAATTAATTATGATCACACTCCACAAATTACTGAATCAGAGCTTTATATAATAGCCAGTTTTCATATTACAGGTATGTTTACAGGGCTTATGGGCAGAGGCAAGCTCACTCTGCTCATGTCCTGAGCTGGAGGGGACTTCACTGTTGACAGAAAAGTCACATGACTGTAGGGATGTGAAGCTGAGCCTCACCTAATACACCTCATCTTTCAGAGGATTTATTTGGTGTGGGCTTTGGGCCATACTCACCACAGTCAGCTCAGCTCATGCACAGTGAGATTGTGCCCAGCCACAACATACTGCATCTGCATGCAGAAACACGTTAGGGTGAGACCACTCCTCACGGTGATCCCACTTTACTGCTACAGCAAAAGCTCTGAGTCTTTGAAGAAGGGAGTCCGAATGAGGCATGCTCCATCCTGGGGCATAAAGCATAGTTTGCCCTCAAATATGTTTTTATTGAAAACACACAGCAAAGATTACAGCCATAGAAAGTTCTGTAAACAAGACAATTTCATCATCTTAAAAAAAACCCCAAAAACAAAACTGCAAAAGAAACCCAAAATAAGACTTGCTGAATGAAGACTGTGAAGAGTAATTTTTTTACTGCCTTAACAAAAAAAATGACATACACCTTCAGCATTTCTTTTCCAAATTTACTTGACAGAGGTTAAAATATTGCTTTATTCTGACTCAACATACAACAGCACTGCATGATGGATTGTGCTATTTTGGGAAGTCTTGAGACTTGTGAACTGGAAAGTCTGGGGCACATTAATAAATTTAACAATTAATTTCCTGCAAAGGAATATTTTAATACATTCCATATATACTGTAAATTTTTTTTTAATCAATCTTCTGACATTAACCAGGGAAGGCTATTTAGCAATTATTTATTATAGTTCATTTTCTTTTCCCCACGAATAAGCAGATATTTTAATACTAATGAAAACAGTAATGTGTGTGTCACTGAACCCAATTCATTGCATTATTGGCATATTGTGTTACAATTTATGGGGGGAAGAGGGACTCGAAAGAAAGCAAATGCAAAAAATGCTTATAATGTGATTGGGATACGGCAACCAGGAAATGCCATGTCTTCTCTAAGGCCTTGATCCCCTGCAGGAAGTGATTTGGTGGAAACCATCTGCTCTTACAGCCCCATTAGAATCAGATCTGTGCATGCTTGTGGGTCTGTCCATACTCAACCATCTGCAGGGTTGAAGCTTTAAAGTTCACAAGCCTAAGCCACGATTAAACAAAGTGACTGGAGAACTGAAAGCAGGAACAAATTAGGGCAGCGTGGATGCTTATTGGCTGGATTTTGATCATATTGGATCTCCCTGACTCTTCTCTGAACAACCCATAATAAAAAATAAGTTAAAAAAAATACACACACACTCAGAAGTGCTCCTCGAGAGCTTACAAACACCTTCAAAGTATAACAGTTTAGAAATGTTGAGGGGTCAGTAACAAACAACAGTGTTTATGTTCCCTCTCAAAAAAACCCCAAATCAAAACCCAAAACCAAACCTGTCGTAATACACACTTTTGCACTTTCTCTTGTTCTTCCTCACTCTCCACCAAGGCAGCTCTGACAGGCAAAGCTCAGAAGATGGAGAAGCTGCGGGCTCCTGACCACTACATCTCTACAAACCCCAATCCCACTCCACACTCGGCCAAACTCAAAGCTCCTAAATGTTTCCATTGACTTTCTTGGGCTGACTGACAAGGTTGAGAGTTAAGCATCTGGCTCAATTCTGGGATTTATTGTCTTTCCACAGTAGGTATCAGACCTCAGAAACAGATGTCTGTCTCTGTTTCCATGGTATGAACCTGGAACCAAGAGGAGAGGGGGAGAGGGGACCAGCTCTGTGCAGGGGTCACGGGACTTGCTCCCCAGGGTCTGAATCCCTGGCCAGCAGCTCACTGCAGTGCAGCCCTGAAACCAGAAATGAATCTAAGAATGGTCTTGGCCTTTACTGAAAAAAAGATGCATAGCCTAAGCCTTCGGATAGGCGAACGGGACCGTGATAAAATGCTCTGTAACTGAAACTGCACGTGTAATCCTGCCTAGAAAGCACCTGATGTACGCTTCATCCCTCCTGGAACTTTTCCCTTAAAAAAATATTTTGTTAAAAAACACTATGATATGAGGGCGATTGACTATTTGGTTTCTTCTAAGTAGATGCTCTTAAATTAATGCATATAAATAATTTGTATTTAATTTCCTCCCTTCCTGTTTAGCAAAGCATCAAATGCACAGATCTCGATTCCCCTCCCACAACCCCCACACAAAGTCACTTGGTCAGTACCGAGTCTCTTTGCGTTTCGCTTTTTAAGACAAATTGTGCCTCTCGCTCTGACTTGGCCATGGGGCTCATGGGCAGAAAGGCCGTGTTCTCGCTCGCGCTGCTCTCTGCTTCTACGCTCGCCAGTTCATAGTCCTCCGACCGCCTCGCGTCCGTCAGAATCCGAATCTGCTCCTGCACAGTTTCTAGCAATATTTTCACTTCGTGTTGTTCTGCTATAAGACAATTACTGACTGGGGAACTCACATTGACAAGTTCAGCTGAATAGGAGTTTTTGCACCATTTGATGCCTGTTACTTCAGAAACATTCTGCATTTGCATGCAGGCTTCGTCCAAGCCCACAGACGGGATGATGGGAACGGAGTTGGCCCTTGAAGATGAATAGCCGACCAAGTCCTTCTGATCCACATTATTAAAATAAGGAGTTGTCTCTCTTGAAGGCAGTTGCATATTTATTGAAGTATTCTGAGGAGTTTTTAAACCACTGGATGAATACCTGGAAAGAGTAAAAAGAAGTTTTTGTTGTACATCAAGCGGTCAGGTGCAGCCAGCAGCAGGAACACTGTTTGAGCTTCAATGAGCTGTGCTGAAAAGATACATTCCACTTTTCCCTCACACTGGGAGCACTTGGTAATAGTGTGGCCCTAGGGAAAACAATAGACTCTGGAGACCTGGTTTTGATTCTCACATTTGCCAGTGGCAAACCACTGCTTTTCTCTCCAGTCTCATTTTGCCCACCAGTATACGAGAATAACTACCGTTATTTTAAAAAATATTTCAGGAGTTATACTGTATTATCAATTTGCTTTGAAATTAAATTTGAAATTCCATTCCTATGTTCCTAACTGGGGACACGGATTGACGCTTTCTTCAACATCGGAACTCTCAATGTCAAATAGCTATTTTAGGAACACGCTTTAAAAAGGTGCAGGAAAAAAGAACTTTTACAAAACATGGTTGTGTAGCCTTTATTTACATAGAAATGATTGTGCTCCCTTTCAAACAAGGAGAGCATCTAAGTGCAGTGTACCTCTGAAAAACATGTCTTTTTTTCAATAGCCCATACTCCCAATGTTGGCCTGATTTGTTTTCTTAGATCTCATCTGGAAATAGAGCTAATACATTGGGCTTGAGCAAATGTCTGTGTTTTCCTGATATTGTAATCCTGTGCTTAAAAAAAAAATAATCCTTTATCCTCCATTAATACACATCATAGCATGATTTTATTTATTGTGAGGCAACTTTGGTGAATTTGTATCAACATTTCCATTTTGTTTCAAAGCCAAATTCATTATTCTGATCAGAAAGTGTTTCTGTTTACAGGAAATACTTAAAAACCAGAAATAGAAAGTATACCAAATATAAAATAAAGGAAACAATGGAAAAAAAAAAAAAAAGATGTTTCCCATCTGAGAAGTAGTATTACTAGAAATGTGGTGCTCTGAGAGTTACTACCTCTACTAGTCATGATTGCCAAGGACCACAGACATCACCTCAGTACCGGAACGTATTTTATTTATAGTCAGCTTTGTGATCATATCACTATTTAATAAGGTGAGCTAATGGTGAAGTCTAATATGTTTTATCCATGGACAAGGAAAGCAACATTTAGATCTCGTGTGGAAGCAGGTGCTTTCAGCTCTGACTTGAACGGTATTTTCCGGAAAGCTGCTTAAGCCTGCTGGACTTCACTAGGGATCTCCTTCTACTCATACGTGCCTTGCTGCTTTTTGGCATTAGCAGAAAGAGAACTAAGGAAAAGAACGTGGATTGTGTGAAACAGCCATAACCCAACATTAGCTCACAATGATAATTAACTGGAAAGGCTTCCTTTGGCCCCATCTTCCTGGTGAGCTGTCAGACAGGAGGAGATATCTTTAGGCTCATTTCCAGCAGAGCGTTGCTGACTTGTAATTAACTCATCTATGGTGGCACCGTGTTTGTACAACTGCTTGACACATTAACCTGTACACGTGCACACATGCAGTTCCGTGCAGCCCCTGTACGAAAACTCTCCAGGCTTTCCCAGAAATCCAGAAAATGCAGCTGGGAGCTCTGCGATAAGGAGGAGATGTTGTGATCTTTGCTGTTATCTGATGGAAAGAGATACTGCCTTGGGAAGTGGGACCCAGGGGAACAATACAGCAAGCGGCTTTTTTGGATACGTGCACAAACTTCTTGTACATGCTATCCAGCTGCATTTATGCTTTACATCTGAGCCAGCTGACACTCAGCTTTTAGTTAATTACATTTGCACTATGCTTAGGCATACTTGTAGCCATTTATGGAGGGGCTTTGTAGAACAGTTTTCAAGAATCAGTATGAATGAAATACTGATCAGGGATATTATTCCCGAAAGAGCACAATAAAAAAAAAAAAAAAAAAAAAAAAAGAAAACAAAACAGTGCAGACCTTTGGGTTGTGCCCATTCTTGTTTCCTTTGCTTATTATATAATTGTTCAAACGACTATAGCTGGAGAGATCGCATCAGTTGCATTATTCCCTTTTTTGGTAATTCGGGCCCTAAATATATTCTGGGCTGCACCCTGAAAACAAAGGGAGTGAATGTTTTTAATGAATTTCACATGCAATGGATATATTATATGGATGATATACAAGCAAAAACAAGAAAATACTGAATTAAAATGGTTTTGGTGAGAAAACAGTAACATTTGCCAATTCCATAATAGAGAAAAATAATTGGCAGCAACAATAACATGTAACGCAATGCCTGGCATATTTCCATAATATTTTTGAAGTACAGATAGACACACCAATTTTATGCCAGAATTACATGCTTCTGCCCTGTGCTTACAAAGCTTTCAAAGGAGGACTGAGGTTGAATTAAAGCACGTATACTGTGTCCAATAGGCAAGGTATTAAACTAGCAGGGATATTACATCTAAACCATATGAGACTCAGCTTTTGGTTAATTACAAACTTATCCGTGCTTCTACTTGTGATACCATACTGCTGCTGTTTTCAATAGACTGAGACATAGACTTATAATTGCAGAATCTTAATTACATTTGCCTATAATTAACTTTCCCAGAACTATAGTTCCTCCTAAGAAAGATATATGTTTTTTTCTAATCTAAAAATTATTTTGTCTGAATAAATTCATTCATGTGCATGTATTTCAAAGTGCAGCTCTCTCTCCATCCTCTTCCTAAAACCAAGTGAAAAAAAAGAAACGTAAACATTTATAAACATGCAACAGTAATTATGTTATACTCATACAGAGTTTGTCTAAACCGAAGAATGAAACTGAATGAAGCACAATAATTTTACTGCTCCCTTAAAATAGATACTGAAGAATGACAGAAGGGATTGGAACTTAAAATACAAAATCGTTTTTATTTAGCATAGTACCAATAGCTTTGCTATAAGCCCTACTGCTATAGGTGCTCAGTATATGAGCCTGACAACAAGGTCCATTACGATGAATGGGAGTCATTCCAGTGGCATTACCAGGCTTTGGTTCAGCCTTATAAGCACATGCGTCTATACATACACACCCCATTTCCTACCTGCAAATATGATACATTGGGTGTTGTATACATAAACACGTTTATATCTGTATTTGTACGCATTCACAGGCTATAAGGCACTGCTTTTAACACTTCGTGCCCTGTAACACAAAGAGCTGTCACTGAAAGCATGCGATCAAACCACTGTCCGCTGAACTGCACGTAAACATGTGACACCCTCAGGGACTCCAGTCGGTTTCTGAAATGTGACTGGCATGGAGATAGTTTTGTTTTCTTTAAGCTCCTCATTTCAGGCAGGTTTTTCTACTCCTTGAGTAGTAGCATACTAATTAAAAAGCTGCATTTGACTCAAACTCTGCAAATATTAGATCCTGTTGCAAATAATGAGATCTGGTGCTTCTTGAAGGCAGCAAAAGCTTTCTTCTCAATGTGGGACAGGAAGAGGAGCACCTTGACACAACTAGACAAAAACTGATCAGGTAAATTAGCCTCTTTTCTATCAAATATAAACATAGAAAATCTGACTAAACTTCAGCCAGAGCTGCTGATGGATGAACTTCAGAAGGCTCACAGAATTAGGGAGATAAACAACTTTCATTTGTGCATCCCTATAGGAGTGAAAAGGGAGAAAAAAAAGGAGTGTAACTTCTGCAGGGGACAAGGGAACTTTTCATTTGGGCTGGAAAGCTAATGAGAACACTTACACTATGAAACTAGCAGATATTTAGACGGTAAAAAGCCATCTGATTTTAGAGAAACCTCTTCCTAAGTTAGAAGAATTCCACATAAAGTAGAATTAGTGAATTATTTTTTATTTTTGTTTATAGATAAAATGCATATTTCTATTTTGGTTGAAGAGCGTAAAATGCATATTTCTATTTTGGTTGAAGAGCTCACTTCATTGCTGCAACACAAAATAACTTGCAAAGTTTGTTATACTCTTAAAAGACTTCATTTTCATAACAACCATCATCAGTAAAACACTGTAATAAAATAAGATCAAAGAATTGCTTTGGTTTTCATATCCAACACTGACATTTTAGAAATTCATTTCCATGGATACTAGTTAAAGCCTTTTATTATCGTATTTGTGATAAACAGAGGCTGGCGGCCACAACATCACCTGTTGATGCACTCAGAGGACTCCTTCAGATAAAGGTCCCTGTGTTAGCGTGGATATTAGGAAGGTCTAATTCTACAAACATTCCTAACGCACCAAATATGGACAAAGTGCTTTAGTGGATGGAGGCCAGAAGGGGTCTGGTCCAAATATCAACATTTTGCAGAACTGCAAATTTAAAATACAGGCCAGTACAAAACGATACTTGTAATACCACACACTGATTTCCTAGAGAAGAGTTAATACAACCACACACAAGACAGTTTTTCCGTTCTCTACCTCATTTCTCAAACTAGAAGGAGGCTAGAGCACTCTCCAAGAGCTCGTGTTACAAGGCGCTGCCATTGAAGAGGGAGGCTGTTAGCCCACCTCTTTCAGGAAGGGTTGCAGAGTCACAATTTTCATAAGGAATTATACACACGTTATTATACAAATGAACAATAATATATTTACTGCAAGAAGTAATAAACAAGTTTATCCTTAGAAGAAGCAAATATGAGACAAATCTGTACTTTTAAAGTCTCCAGACACTCAAACCTTTTTCCACTTTTCTTTCTCCCTTCCTAGGTAAGCCCTGTTCTTGGGCTGTCTTTCCTAATTATTGTGGCCAATTTTGTTAGGTAGATTCAGCTATAAAACATTTAGTGAGCCAAATCCCCCTCTCACAGAGTACCCTAGACCGGGCAATCATGCTGCAGGTTGGAAAGCTGGTGTGCAACAACACACAGGTGTAATGACGCTTACTCCTGGTCAGCACTTGTGGCTGTTATTTCCCAGGAGGTCAGAGTGGATAGTGATAACAGCTCCTTTCTTCCCTGAAGGAAAATTAAACACGCAGGTGACCTCAGTTCTGCACTTCATAAAGCCGGTTCCGATACCAAAACGTACAGCTGCCTTCTTGCAGTGTAACTGTTCACTTCGCCACATAGACTTACATGTGTTCAAACGGAACTGGTGTAGTTTTATTTCGTTCCAGATATCACTCCTAGTTTTACATATAATAGGTTTGTAGCAATTCTGGAAAGTCTTTGGAAATCTATAGGGATATGTAAATATGATGCAAACTACCTCAGCATTTGCAAAAGACTTCAAAGGCAGCTATAGGTGCTCAGGAGCACTTCTAAAATTCAGACTTTATGTACAGCTGGAGCTCACATTCAATATTCTAATAAGCTGAATTAAAAAAGGAAAAATATTGGATTCTTTGTGCATTTTCAAAGACAAACCTGCGTGATTGGTCTTCAGTCTACAGCAAACACACTTCGCAATGTACATAGATTTATTTTAAAAACCCATGAAAGTTGGACTTCTGAATTATCGTCTCTTATTTGCCCAGTGCTCATGGAAGAAAAAAACGCTATGCAAAAGTTACTAGAACATCACGGCACCGCTAGAAAAAGCATCAAAGAGTAACGTTGCCAATCACTTACAGTTTGTTCTAATCACTCCTTCTACAGCCTTTGAAAGGCTTAGAAAGAGCAGTTAGCCAAATAAAAACATGTTACCTTCAAAAAGCCAGTATGCTGTTTTCTGCTCTCAGTTCTATAAACCCTGGATCCACAGTACACTACAACAAAGTTCGAAGGACTGTAATGGCAAAGTATATTAACCACATAACAGCAGCCACTCACAAATTGGCTCACTTCAGTTACGTTGTTACTTACCCATGACAAGGTATTGTGTCCTGGTCTGTGATCCTTGACTCTTCTAGCTGTTGATATGCTGGTCCTGTAATTCCATTGAACCTACCCCGAGGTAAGGGAGGAGTCCTCCGAAAGGCATTTCTATGTAGCATCCCACTTTTTTGTCCTGGGCTGCAGCATGAAGAGAGACTTCTAGGAACAACATCGAGAGTACAGTAAGAATTATCACAGCTAAAGTGTAAACTTCGGCAAAGTAAAGATTCAGGATTACTAACGCATGTATTACTGTTTTCCTAAACTTTGCTGTGGTGGTCTATGACGTCAGTAGAAATTCTCTATGGAAACATAATACTATAATCCACAGTTAGCTGCTGTTTAAGCCATATTTAATACATCACCTCTCTTCTGGGACTGAAAATAATTGCCTGGTATATTAAACGTTTTCTTGTACGTGATGAAGGATGCTTCTTTTTTCCCATGCTGCATACCATAATCCTGCTATATAGAGTTGACTCCTCAGACAGCATAAACAAACAGCACAGCTCCATTATACCTACAGCTGAGCTCAAAATCAGATCTTAAATTGAGAGCCTATTATAGCATCTTATCAGCCTAAGAGGTGCTGCTTCCTGACGCAATATCACTAAAGTGGGAAAAAAATATAGGTGAAGAATATAAGTGAAGCTTATGAACTGCAGCTTGAAGAAATAATCCGTGACACAAGTTTTCTCCATGTTGAACAAGATTTCTTTTCTATATTGTTTCATATACAGGTTATTTTCTTGTTTATATGCTTTGATAAATACTGTGTTGTTTTTTTATCTGATAATACAAACTTGAATATGATAAAAACAAGTAACAGTTTTCTGTTTATTTTAGAAAATTGCTTTTGTAAACATTTTTGTAGTGTTTTGGAAGGAGAATGGATTTTTTCCATTCCGTGCAGGAATTAAAAGTTACCTAGAATTCATAGTTTTGTTATATTAACCATACATTCAGCTGTTGCTAATGCAAAAACAAGGAACACAAAATGAACAGGTCACAGTACTGAACGGTGTGACTGGCTATTCATTTTCCAGCTACTCCTATGTTTCTTGACATCTCCTAGGTCTCAGAAATGCATGTGTATTACCTAATATTCTGTCACATCATTAATGATATTTAATATAGGTTTTGTAGATGCATTTGGTCACATGAATAATTTCAACTTTTGATACAACTCAGCTATGCAAAAGACTTTTGATAAGTTTCCTTTTCTTTTCCTATTCTAATGTGACTTAAAAGCAATCTCCATTTTATACCTAGTGGGAACTTTATTTACTGTTAGGGCCGCATCTACTCCCAAAGCAATTTTTGCTTGGACCAAGTATTTTGGACAAATTCTCTTGGAGCGTACATTTCCATTAAAACCAGCCTTTTCTCCCCAAAGTCAAAACATAAGAAATAAATTCAACAGTCTCTATCCTGCTGCTCAGGCTAGCAGTGTTCTGTCACGGTCTCCACTCTGTTCTCTTCCACACTTTTACTTTCCTGGTGCTTTTTAATTGAAAAGATCAATAACCCATAGCAATAGCACTCCCTCAAGGATTTTTGATGCTTCCTTAAATAGATTTTTTTCCTTAGCTATTAAGAAGGCTGCAAAAGACATTTTAAAAAAACTGAATTCTGAAGGCTGAGTTAAAGCTGTGAGTTCCCGTTCAGATTCTGTAAAATAATGCTGCCACATCACGAAACAATTGACAATTTCTGTTCAGGAGAGTCTGCGATTGTTACAGGAGGGGATCTTAAAAGATGCAGCTGAATGAATAATTTGTGATGGATAATGAATTTCAGAGGTTTCTATTGATTGCAGTATATTCATCAAGGTACTACAAAAGTCAACAAACTGATTAACTTAACAGACTTCAGACTGATTACAAATATTTGAAACTATAAATGCATTGTTTAATTGTGGCTGATTTCATGCCTTCGTACATCTTCCTAGCTGGATGAGAGCACATAGTCTCTCACCTGATAACATGTACATGCAAATTCACCAAAGTTCTGCATTTGTAATAGACATAATTGCAACACGTACAGGTATATCTGAGATAATTGGTGTAAACAAAGATGCGTATAAATGACATATGTGGACTTCCTCCAACTTGCACTGAAACTCTTGTTCTATATCTAACTGATAAAGGTGCGTGGGCTGGTGAGACTGAAGGGACCTGGCACATGCCAACATCATCCTGCAATCATGGCAGCTCCAGCACTGACGGAGCTTAAGAAAATGATTTGTTGCTAATGTGAGGTTCTTATGCTTTCAGCATTTCTGACAGAAAAAACAGAGGGGAAAATGAACAAAAAACATTTGTGGTCATGGACAAGACAAATTCACTACGAAGGTACAGGAAATATTTACAGCCACCCCAGCTGCAAGCTGCAGGATAATGCTCATTTCTTGAAGCACCAAAGACAAGATAGTTACAATTTTTGTTAAAAGTTCTATGAAAAAGTAACTCCAGCATAATGAAGTTTTTCCTTTTTCACAAAACTGCTATGAATGTCAGCATACTCTTCCTCCAAAAATGCTAATACAGTCCCTCTCAGGCTTCTGCTCTATTGCTCACATGAAGTGTTCCTCTCTCTGAGGAAACAATGCCTTTTGGATTCCTTCAGGGAATTTATCCTCCTTTAGCCACCATTATGATTTCTTCCTCCATGTACTCCAGTCTAACTGGGTAAAAGAAACCAGACCATGTAATTGAGTTGTTCAACAAAACAGATCAATAAGGAAAGCTGTAGCAGATACGTCTTTAAAATCTATTAATCAATTACTCTATAGTAACAAAAATCAGAATATGCTTGAACTGGTTCACAAGTAGTGCACAAATCAGGAAGAAATATAGTTCTGTTGAATTAATGGTTTGAAAGAAGTAGGTCAACCATATCTAAAGTTAATTAAGAACTCGGGATTCATTGTTGAAAATCATTTTGTGTGAAAATTTTCTTTAGGTTGAGCAACCGAGCAAAAACAAAGTCTGTTTCAGCAGGTGGAGTCTTCTCTTCCCAAGGCACATGCACAACTCCCAAGTGCAATGAGCCATGTTCATGAAGAGGAGACTTGCACTGAATTTACAGTAACTCTGGGAATCCTCCTGTACTACTTTTTAGTTAATTACTAAATAAAAATGATTGTACCTCACGTTAGGAACACATTCAGAAATAAATTTGTCAAGATGAACATGAAAAGCCTTAACAAAAGGATGACAATTAAAGTGTTGAAACTTTAGATGACATTCCAGTCCTTCCTTTCTTGTTTTATAAGCATAATGGAGTTACAGAAATAGTGCTTATAAACATGGTTGTTTGTATTTCTATTTTACTTATTCTTTCCCCCTTTTTCCACAATTGTAATTCATGAAAAGAAAGATGAAAAATTGAAGGAGGAAGGAAAGCTCTAAAATTCCTTGTAAATAATCTGGCTCTGTACCCGCAAAAACTATACAGAGGTGTATTATATTACATACTATATTATCTACCGATTAGGAGATGCAAACATTTGAAAACATGGGTTTGGTTCCTGCAAGACAGAAACAGTAAATATATATCCCAGTGACAGAGCTAGCTGCCAGACAGAAAGTGCCTTCTGATGCTCCCTTGGAGCCACACTTTAAGGCTATGTTAGACAATCTACTGCTAACATTTGTACAGATCAACTATTCAGACTTTCAATCAATTTTCAGTTTGAATAAAAAGGATCTGTTATACCTGAGAACATAAACATCTCTCAGTAAATACCATGCAACAATAACAATGCTGTATCACAAAGCCCTTTTGTCAGACTGTTTACACCTGTTGGAGCCCATGCTATAGATGGCTCCCCAAAGGGAGAAAGTTAACATAACGTTTGAGACTTCAACAAAGCTGTACATGATTAAAGGAATACCAAGATTGTAAGGAAATTATTAGGCCAAAAAAGGTGTGGAATAAGAGAACCGAACTTAGCAGTTTTATCCCTTTTTTCTCTATAGCGTTCTGTATCCTAAGCATTTAAACACTGCTCTTTCCTGTGCCTTTGCAAAGTAGTCATGTACTGTCTCAGTATGTCTCAGGTCGTTCATACATATTCCCATTCTACCTTCATCCTCAAATAATCATCCTAACTGAAAAATTAAATATATTCATTCAGGATTGCCCTAACAGCTTCATATATTATTGCTGTCCTACCATCAGCTTGCCTTCTTCCAGTATAGTGGTCCTCATCTTTAGACAGCAGGAACAATTGATTGCTTTCAGTATTATGAGTAATTCTTAACTCTCAATGATTCCTGGAAATGTTTGCTTCAAGCATGACTTCTTGCCCTCTGTGATATAGCTTGTTTTATTCCCCTACACCTCATTCCTTTTAGGCATTCTCTTTAGTAAATTTCTCAAGAAAACTATGTTTTTCCCTTGGGATAACATCAAATTCCTTACGCTTTCTCCCTTCCAGAGGAGGCTCCTCTGCCTTTATATTCTTAGTTGCTTTAGTTTATCAATACTCGTTCTTTGAAATTCAATAGCCTTAATTACAGAGTAACTTTAATTTACTCTACCTTTTAACTGAATCAATTATATTGGGAGCATAAAGAGTAAAATGCTTACTATATAAAAAAAATAGTTTTACCATGCTTTTCATAGTGTTAAAAATTCATTAAAAATGCAAACACAGATTATTTTAAATTTTAGAGTAAATTTATCCTATTTTGGCATTTCTGTAAAGAAATACAACTGCTCTAGGCTGAAAGCCTCTGCATTTGGCTTTCATCATGGTTTTCTCAGAAATGAATCCCTCTAAAATCAATGATGACTGAATCAATGAATGAAAGTCAGAATGACTAATTACCAAGAAAAATGCTATTCAAAGGGATCACAGCTCAATCCCATAATTAACAAAACTCTAATTTGTTTCTATCTGTTAGAAATTAAGACAGTATAGGTTTTCTTCTTACAAAAACCAACAGATAATCCAAGATGAATTTTTAAGTGTGTTGTATACTTTACAGGAAGTTTACTAATAAACGCATTTGTTACTTTCCAGCTCTGACCCTACTAAGAGTTGGTTTACATATGCAAGCAGATGATGTAAAATTCTTCTACCCTAATAACAGTACATAATACAGGTAAAATATTGCAGGAGTAGGATTCAGTGAAAGTTCAAGTTTTCTATTCAATCTCTGCAGTAATTTTTTGCATACAGCTAACGTTGGTGGAGTCAGAAAATTGCTATTACGTAGTAATCTGAGTGAAATAACTAGGTGATCTCTATCAGTGAAATTTCAGCAACTGCAAATAAATCCCCACCTTGATAGTCTTAGTGCCAGGCTGAAATTTTATTGGTTTTAGAAACTGGAAACAGACAGCTCCTGATTTTAAGAAATAACCATCCATTCCTTAAGTGCCCTTGAAAATACCAGCAGGGAAAACAGGTCTGGATGCAGAACAAAATATTTCCATAATAAGCAGAAACAAACCAATAATATAGTTTAACAACAGCATAAACCTGCAGGGCGGCTGTAATTTTTCCAGGCTCATGTCAGGTTTGGAATGGAATGAAGGGATGTTTAGGACAAGATGTATCTCGGTAAAAAAAGAAATTTTTTCCTCCTTTGGCCACATTTGACCATTTGGCTGCATTGAACACTATTTACAAACTAAAGAAACTGAGTAAATTAGGAAGCTGTCATGTGATGCATAAATTAAAGACAGTCTTATAAGTCTTAAATGTTCAACTCTGTTGTATATTTTATAAAGCAAGGGCCTTGTATAATAAATCATAAGTTATAAAACTACAAAAAGAATTCTTTATAAATTAAGCTAGTCAGTCATTCCACATCTTAAAACAATTTTGAAGCAAAGACTCTTAAGATAGTCTGGTGCTTGACATCTGCAAATAAGATGACTGTTGGGGCTTTTGAGGTTTGTTTTTGGGTTTGTTTTGTTTTTTCCTGGGAAAGAGATTTTGTGTGCAAAGGTGCTAAAATGAGCAATCCGGGATTCTGCAATAGTTCACTGTAAATTCAGTGTGGCTTATTCTGTAATTTCTCTATGGAAAACAGGGAGTCTAGAGAGTCATTCAGCTTTCATTTTAAGTGACGTCCATAAATAGAAGAAATAGTTTTGGTCTTTAGTTTATTTCTGCATTTTTAAGCTTAGGTAATGTCATGGTACAGTATCTAAATCACTTCAAACTTGGATACTGCAATCATGTTATTAAAGGTAAGGGAATGTCACTGTGTTTTTCTGAACTTCATCTTTTGACTAAATGGAGATAAAATTCCCCCCTGAACTTCAGTGGAAAGCATTCTAGGCAACAGTTCCATAGTTCACCTATGTTCAGTAAAAGTATTAAGCATAATTTGAAAATCTCTGTGTAATAAAGAATAAGCCCTAAGAAATGAATATGACATGACAGGTGGCATTATTTTTTCATGCCATATTAAAGACTTAAGTAAGGTAAAAGTAGATAGGACCCAAATATCCCTTCCTGGTTCATATGCTGCACTTTGGTAAGTTAAGTAAATAATTCATTCAAAAGAGAAGGAACATGTAGCTGACTGGGGAACTGCAATGAAAATGCACCAAGTAATACAGAAGCTAGCTTGTAACCTTATGCAATCCCAGACTTTTTTTTTTTTGTAATTTAAAAAATTTACCCTTTTAATAAGTAAGTCTTCCCCTCCAGCTTATCTAGCTAAAAAAATTTTGAACTCATTTTTCTCAGTTTTTTTTTCTCAGTATGCTCTGGACACAGCCATTCTACCAACACTATTGCTTATATCAAACACGAGTTTGGTTTCTAGTCCTGTAATGAAGCATCTGCACTCTTTTTGTTCCAAAAAGGCTATAAGCAGAATTCTAACCCAAGTGCCATCCAGTGATGGGTGACTTTCCTCTTTTTTTCTTCTTGGAAACAACCATCTGAACTTTTTAAAGACTTGTTTTCAAAGGCCACTCTGTGTTCATAAGTAAGTCATTATTCATTTCAAGTATTATTTGTTTAAAGAAACAGTAAGAAAGGCTGGAAGTTTGCAACTCTGTCCTTCTGCAGCAAATGAGTCATTAACTTAATGAATATTGATAAGGAAAGTCTTGTTTTTAATAGTTTCTTGAACTACAATTGTTTCATTCACTAGTCTGTGTCTACAGCTTGGATGGTGTCTTTAAATGCTTCCTCCAGGACTTTACAAAGTGCAGATAAAGTCCGTGAGCATTGTTATTGCCTTTTATGTCTGCAGCTAGGAAAGTGCTCAGATATCTGCCCAATGACTTGGCTGAGGCTCTGTTGGTACAATATTATTCAGCATCTCTCCTAGTCACAATAATCCTGCATGTGTATTGCCAGATCAATGACATCCCTTGGCAGCCTGTCAAATCTCCCATCAGACAGCCATTTGCTTACCTGTGTTGCTTGATGGGCTGGGTTCCTCTGTCAGGAGACAAGGCCTCTGGGAAAGACTGAGGGCCTGAAAAACTAGACTCCATAACTTTGTCCAGAACAGGCCCAGGATGCCTATCTCCTTTTGAATACTGTGGCACAGAGATGAAAATTAATCAATACACAAAAGGCAAAGTACGTCATTGATGGTATTCAATCAGAATTTGTATCAGAGCGGGGTAAGAAGCGTACTAATACATTTTTAAATTAAAATTAGGCATTGCAATTAATGCATTCATTCACTGTTGTTGACATGGTGTCAACGCCGTGGAAGGCGTCAGCACTCATTATCTCCATTACCTTCTCCACATCGAAATGCTGATATCTGCATTAGTAGCAAAATTACTCACTGATCTGCCCATAATGAAAGGGAACACTGGTCCCTTTGACTAAAAGCCTGATTTTGTGGCTGTCCATGCAGAGACTGAGATCACGAAACACATCTCAGAGGATGGTCGGCACCTTGAGTCCTTTGGTCATTTCAGTCGAACACTGCTTTTATCAGCATGCATAACTATGAAAACCAAACTGAAACATCATTCGTATCATCAGATAAGTAAGAAAAATATTTTAATGTTATCTGTAGAGCTGTACATCCATTCTGAACAAGTCTGGAACTTTTGACCTGAGAATATCTGTGCTAGTAAGAACAGTGTAAACATAATTCTTCTTGTGACAGTTGTAGGGGTAAAGTCTCTGGGCACATAGTGAGGCACAAAGGTGTGTCACTCACACATAGTGAGACACAAAGGTCAGTAAAGCAGACACTGGACATGAACAAGAACAGATTTTTTTCTTCTTCTTGCTTTGTGATTCAACTGCAAATTCTGCAAAAACTATCTGATCCTGAATGGAGCCAGAAAGTCAAAGTATAAAAAAAAGGTGCATTTTGGTTTGGAAAAAGAATCAACGTTGTTAGTGGTTACTGGGCAATATTTCAGAGATATGAGAGGTTAACCCACGTTTCCACTCAGGGATGAAAAATACTGCACTTTGTAGATTCTTTTATGTTGCATTACAACGACCTGCACTAAAACTAATTAGTCTATTTTTCTTTAATCCATTTCTTTTTGTATTGAGTTTGTATTTTTAGTACTATACGCCTAGATATCCATGTTATCTTTACAATAAACTGACATTGTGGAAGCTACTACATGACTAAATATTTTAGAAAGAAAATACAAATTAAAATAATAACAATGATATTAAAAAAAAAAATCACAGTAGTAGAAAATACCATGCTATGACACAATAGCATAAACATTAGCAGAGAAGATAGTAAGATTTCTGTCACAGTACAGTTCTACTTCATCATTATTTTGTTGTCTAACAAAAGACCAATAACTCCTTAAAAATACAGAATTATTTTCTGACTCTCAATTATTCTTATCTACATTTCCCCAGACTTCAGCAAAATCAAAAAGGAAAGTCATACAAGATTACTCTCTTAAAATGGGTTACATATAATTTTGGTCCATCTATTCAGACTTCTTATGACAGATTTCTACAGATAAAGTAACAGATCTTTAAATTTTTCTCCAATGCTCTTCTCTCTCTTTTGTGTGAAGCACCCACATAAACAGGGCCAAAATCAATGCTCGCATACTCTGGAAGACAAAGCTATGAGAGTAACAATATGCAAAATGTTGCCATATGCATGAAGTAAACACAACTGAAATAATAAGAAAAAACATATTCCACTCTTATTTCTTTTGGTTACCATGATCTTAGCTGTCACTTGCAAATGTTATAGCTAAAATATTCAGACAGAATACGATTTTTTAAGGTACTCATGTCTGTGAAGGTTTTAAACTTTAATAGTTATCCTGTCAGCTGCAGAAATTAAACTGTCTTTGATTTCTGACCTGAATAAATCAGTTTGAGCAATGTAAAGAATCAGTTGTTAGTGTCAGGAAGCTACTTCTGTCCTTTCTTGTGTTTGTTCATGACACTACATTGAAGGTCCGAATGGCTTATAAGACCATGAGTATGAAGTGACTCATGAAGGGTAATTACAGAAAAAAGCTGTGCCTTGTGCTGCATCCATTGCTAAGGTGGATGTAGGCTGGAGCGATGGTATACAGTCTTTCCTCATCATAACGAAGGAAACCAGGACCCCCAGAAGCTGCTATTATGCTGACTAGCAGACTACGCTGAAGGTCTAACACCCAGCACCACCCAGACACAGCTTAGAAAGCATATTTTTCCCCTCTAACTGTACATTTCTTTAATGCCATTTTCAGGTACACTACTTACCAATTACCATAACAGCCGTAACATTAATTACAATGAAAACATGTATCACAATTTAAATTGAGGGTGTGAATATACAGAGAATTTGAACAATTGAACTTATTTGGATGTATCACATTACTTATACATTTTAATAGTTTTAAACATAGTTGGGTTTATTCTCCTTTAGCTTAACCACAAGCACCACATCCCTTCTCTGAGATCATCTCTGGAGAAAAATATCTTCAAATTTCTGTGATAAGTTTACAGCAGTATCAGCTGGTGCCCCCAGAAGTACAGTATAGGATTGCTCCCCATCCGTATCCCAGCAGAGCCCATCCTGCTGCTTCCATAGCCCAGTTCTTACCTGGGCTGTGCTCTGCAGAGCCCTCTGACTGTTGTGAGCTGCTGAACACTCAGTCATGATGGAGAATAAGCTGTGAAACACTTTCAAAGGACTGTACTAGTAGGTTGAAAACATCACTGAAAACTTATCTGTATCATTTCAGTTTTTATGGTTTTATTGTCTTCTTGCTTAATTATTTGTGCTTGTTTGAGCAATTACTGAGAAACGCTGATGCATAGGGCTAAATAAATTAAAGAATAATGACAGCATTTAAAATAAACCATTTTGCAAATTTTCAATTTTTCACAGTTTCAAGGAGAAAGTAATCTGCTATGTCCAATTACTCAACTCTTTGGCAATAAAATTCCACCCCCTGCTAGTTTATGCTGAGTGAATCTGCAAAGGCAGCTGAGCCAGGAGACAGAAATCAACCACTGCCGCTGACCTAGTGCATGACTGTGAGCACATAATTCCCCTGCTCCATGCTTTGTATTCTTTATTCTAAAAGGTAGGATCCATGCATTAGAAATGCCACGCAAATGCTACAGAATAGCTTGACACTGTTGTCCTAGTGTTATGCAAATCAAAACATCCATCCCTCTCCCTGGCTTTTCTTAGTTCTTCCTCCTCAATGATTTTCCCAAAATAGTAATAATAAAAAATCCAGAAACTCATGTGGCATTGGAAGAGAGGTGATGTGGGGATCTCATTTCAAAAAGGACTGAGAAGGCAGAGGGACCAGCTTTAAATTACATTCAGAGAGGGTGCCTCAAGTAGGTGAAGAGTTGATGATTTTCTGGATGGGCTGACCTTCCACAAAAACCCTGTCAGGTGGCGTATTTAACGTCCTTACAGCTGTTCCCATATGCCCATATAGTTTTGTTGCCAACACTAGCTCTAGACAGAGGCCAGTAAACTCAAGTTTGTCTCTTCTGGCAGTTCCTCCAAAGCAGTCATGCGATATAGAAATGGGAAATTTGCTCTTGATCTTAACTGATTAATCACATCGTAACTCAGGCAAAACCACACAGAAATCTTTTAAAAGATTTGAGTTCTCTGCTGCTTAACATATATTAATTGCATTTCTATCACAGGGACTAAAACCAGTTTGTTTACTACTACTATCAACAAAAGGCAACAAGACACAAAAAGCGCATTTTTTCCTCTTGTTTTAAGAACAACAGAAACCTGGAGCTCATGATTGCAAGCTATTAGAAAAAAGCCTAGTGAAAAGTGAAACCACACACTACAGCATGAAAAGCACATTAACCACCTCAGAGGGAAAGTGACGGGGAATTAATAGATCCACTTAGTACCATGGGAGAAGGTATTAAAATCCACAAGGGTGAAAATGGCCACTTTAAACAACCATGACAACTCTTAGAATCCCTAAAGGAATGGCAAGGCTTCAGCTGCATTTTTTTTTCTTTTTTCTCTGCATGACATATTTGTTATGAGATGATAAGTTATGAGAATTTAAAGAACCCTGTAGTCAAGCTGGAAAAAGGAGCTATTAAACAGGAGTACGATTAAGACTCATGAAAACCAGTGAACTACAGAAAAACAGAGGAGGGCCAAAGGACCTCCTCTTGCCTCTTGCACAGTGCATGAGGGTGCCCAGAGCACTCATCTTGCTAAGAGGGGCAGCTGAGAATGATAATTTACTTCCTTTTGCCTATGAGGACATCAAACTGTTTGCTGCAGTCTTGTGGAGATTGTTTGTTAAATACCTCTTGAAGATAATATAATCTTTTTGAGAAGGGGTAGGTATCCTAGAAAGTCCTAAGTTTCATGTCTTAGGTGAAATAAATCTGAATTTCCTGTGTACCTCAAAGATCCTGCATTAAAAACTGGCACATCTATCTCTTCCTGACTGAAGAATTACAGCAAGATGACTAGTGCATTAGTATCCAAATCCAAGATGCTGGAAAACCTAGCAAGAAATTAAGTGTGTTGCTTCCAGAATATTTGGGAAAAGCAGTGGACTTGAAGGACATCCATGAGAAATACTAGGAGCTGTGTTACAACAGTTATTTATGACTCCTGCTTATAGTATACAGTATATTTCATCTAATATTTATCTCAAACTAAAAAATGGAATCAATACCGAGAGAAATAGACTCGGCATAGGTGAACACAATTACCAGCTATCAGCAGCAAGAGTTCAGAGAGAACACAGCTGTCCTGATAAAATCTAACCCTTTTTTTTACTTTACAGAATCACAACTGAGCAGAGGAAGGATGTAGAGGAGATGTAATACACTGAAGTGTGGGAAGGAAACGTATATGATACTTCAAAATATTGTCAATGCAAACAAAAAGCTTTATTCTCTGCAATAGAGCAAGTGTCAGGGAGGCATCCATGTCTTAACTTAAAACACCTAAACTCTCCTTGTGTTCTTCCTCAGCCTCAGGGTTTGCCAAGGGAGGTGCTGGGATGTAGCCATTCTTCCTCGCTTGTGTTTACCCTGCTGATCAGAGAGGGCAAAAATCCCAAAGAGAGCATCTTCTCGAAGGAAGGGAATTCTAAAAAGCCTACATTTTTCAGTTGGCCAGCTCCATATTTTCTGGATATCCTGTTGCTTAACTTGAATACTCACATTTGAAAGAGCAATCCTGCCATATGGATGTATAATGAACTCGGGTGAATGTCCAACATTTCAAATCTATTTCTTAAACGCTGCCTTTCGAAATAAGGATTGCTGCAAGATAACCTGTAGTCTAGGATGCAGCAGGAGAATTCCGATACAAATGGAGAGTGTTCTAAAAGCAAACATTCAGAGCTTTTAACCCCACATCGAGGTTCTCATAGTAACACTACTGTAAAGAAGCTTTAATTTGCAGAGAGGTGGGATATCATGGGGACCGAGGTCTGGAGTCCTTTTCTTTTCCTTCTGCAGTATGCAAACAGCTGCAGTATAATGACTTAGGCTAGAATAAAATGTGATTTTGTAATTAATTTTTATAGTTGGTTCAAAAATGAAATGTGTGTTTTTTCTGTTAACAGCAATTTTGATATATTCACATGGCTTCTCTCATTTAAAAAAAGACTCAAAATTGGCTTTGAAAATAAGTAATGAAAAATATTTTTTTTCCTAAAGTTCCGGCAAGGATAAAGGGGGGGAAAAAAGGAATGATAAGGAGAAAAACTACTTCACTGAGACTGGTCAAGCTCTTTACAATCACAAACCACTTGAAACACTGTCTGCTATACCCTGGGTCTTGGGAAATAAGTAAAACCTATTTCTAGAGCAACATAGCACTTGGAAAGATCTGTGCATCCTTTACTAAATGTAGCAACCTCTGAGTCAAAATGTGATGGCTCTTACAGAACAGACATTATTAGAACAGTTGCCAAGAATAAGAACCCTTATGCAACTATTCTCAGGTCTACACTAATGTGTTCTTCTCTACAGAAGAAAAAAAATGCAGAGTGAGAAACCCGAAAGCATCATCACCAGGTCCATTCAAAACAGGCAGGAGAAAAATAGGGAGAATCTTCTAAGGAAAGAGAGAAAGGTGACACAGAAGCAAGACAGATATCCCATATAAGATGAGAACTTGGAGTAGGAAAAGAAACAGCTTCCAGGATAACATAAACCAAAACGCCAGACTGGAAGAGTAGTCTCCAGAAAATAACCACCTTAATTTACTTACATTTCCTTATTGGCTCCTAGAAATGATCTAAAATTTCTCCCATACCTATATGGTGGGAGCTGCAGATGGGAATTGCAGAGAGATGGCACCCAGGCAGTAACCGGCTAGAAGACAGCAGCCCAGATGCAGAAGTGAGTGGTGGCAGCGCTCTCCTCCCCACACCACTGCCCTGTCCCTTTCCCACCCAGCAGACACACCCAGGGCAGATCTCTGGTCTCTGATGGGGAGCCACTCAGCCATTTCTACAAAATACCGTTCTAAAGTTCCTTTCTGCTGCCTCGCCATACCCCCTGCCCTTCTTTATCCCCTCCAATCTGCCAAGTTTTGTAAATATTTCATGAACTGCCTGCATGCATTCATAAAATCTTGCTAACAATAGAAACCATTATTACCCTGCACTGTTACGCTACATCCTGCACAAGGTCATTTTGTTTTTCTTTCTTAGCCTCTTTGCTCCCAAAGGGAAAATGCATTAATGGCAAGGAGAAAACAGCTGCCTGCAAGCAGCCACAAGAACAAGAAAATGGTGTGTTAATTACCAGAACTGATAATGCCAGTCTGAACAGCATTAAAAGCTGAAAAGCAAATTTGGATTAAAATAATACAGAATAATAACGGTTTTCAACCTCTAATATCTGGAATCTACAAACTGTTACTTCAGCCATTATGGCTATTATTATGGCAAAAGAAAAAGTCTTAAATAAAGCTTGTTGATGTGTTTGTCAGCTGCTCAGAAGACATCAAATAGTTCATCATGATGATAGGTTGACAAAATATTGCACTAAATTACAGTGAGAAAAAAAGCAAAGAACATATTCTTAGTGTTAACCAAGGCCTACTTTATACGTTAGAACAAAAGGATCACAAAAGCTCTTTACAATTTTACCTTTTGTTGCCATCATTACCACCCAACAACACTCTCAAAGGCTTTTTTAGGGGCTAGAAGTAATACATGACTGAATCAACTGAAACAAAGAATTACATGCACTTCCCTAAACTTTATGTCGATCTAGTGGAGCTATCTTCCTTCTTGAAACAGCATATTTTTCCTGAACCACAAAGCATATCATGACCACAATAGTGCTCCTATAAAATAAAACTTTTAGTGAACATAAGCAATGCTCTGACAACTCCTCTGTCATAGCATGGAGGCTCTGCTTACTCTGAATTGGTTAAAACGGCTTATACTTATTTCTACATTAATTCGACGTAAACCAGGAGTCAAAACATCTATGGCTGAGTGGGCATGAGTGCTCACTTTTGCCAAACTCCCACTATTTTGATGGAATCTGGCAAATAAGGTAGTCGGCCCTTTAAGTAAAGCTAAGATACTTTTTTTTGGAAAGAGTTAAACATTTAGAAAGGTCTCAATACATCTTTTATGAATTCCTATTATATTGCAAGCAGGATCCCTCTCAGTTCGAAAGACTTTGTTCAAAATAAGACAGCACTAAATATGTATGACACATTTATTTAAATGACAATTTATAAATTGGCTTAAATAAATTGGTCATCTTCAAGTTCCTTGTTTCAAATACACTTTATATATTGCATGATTGAGGGATTGTATTTGCTTACATATAACTATACACAGAAAATGACTAAATAAACTTCAAATTTAGTTTGAGTAAACTAATCTCCTTCTGGCATCAAAAATCCATTTAGCTCAAGACCCAGGAAAATGAGACCACCTGTACAGTCTTCCCCTGTGCATTAGTTTACATATGTAAACTTAGGTTTAGATTTTGAATTTACTCTGAATTAACTGTGACAAATCTCTACATTTTTTCATGCAAATTCATTAATTATTGGAAGACTTGAAATCATTTAAGATCAAGGACCTTCACTTCACATATGAACCATACATATGAGGTAAGGTATTGCCAGAAACCGTAACAGTGATGTCCACTGCTGGATGCGGAGCCAGAGGGCTCAGCTAGGTCTATTACATGAACAAAATGTACCAAGATCTATTGAAATAACTTTAGAAAAAAATTCCTGCTTGGGTGTTTTCCGTTACAGGCCCTGATAGAAAACATTTTATGGAAGAGGTGAGAATTCTTGTTTCCAGTGCTCAGATGCTAATAGCAACATGGCGATGTGCTGCCATCAGCAGCAGGAACTCAGCCAGGCTATTAAGTGGTGTAGCTGGCAGGATTACTTACATTTTGCAGCTGGACTCGGCTTTGTGCCATACACTCTGACTTTGCCATCATGCTGGAAGCATTTAGGCTGTAGGTTTTCCTATTCTGTGTTTCTTTCAGCTGCTCATGAATTTGCTTTGTTTGTTTCCTGCAGAGAGAAATAAAATTCATGTAAGAAAGAATTCGCTTGATCTTCTACTACAGCCGTGGTATTTTTATAGCCATGGTTCCCTTTGTTCAAAACTTCACTGTATTAGATTAACCAGCTGAGCTAATTCACTAGTGTCTGATATTTCAATGCAGTGGTCATTTTCTGGTGAGGCTTAAGAAAGGGAAAAAAGAGCTGTTCTGTTTAAAATATCTTCTATTATCAGAAGAAGAATATTCTATTATTATAATAGCATGCTAGTCGTTTTAGTGCAGAATTTTGTAAGATCATCTATTACATATTTAACAATAGTTTGCAAGTAGGCCTGAATATTAAAAAAGCATTTTGCTCTGATTTGGAACAAAGATTTTGGCAAATACAGCAGGCAATAGCCCCTTTTGGCTATAAAAAGTGTTGAAGAAGCAAAGATTTCTGCTAGTAGCTGATTAGACAACCTATAATCCAGTATCTTGTATAGACCAGCTTTTGCTTACATGCTTAAACCTGGAAAAAACCCATCATTACAGTATCGGAAGCTGTGTTTTTGACATCTTATACTATGATCTACTATGTCAGAGCTAAGAATACCACTAGATGAATCACTTGCAATATTCAGGAGGTCACTTGCAATATATTTAAGGTTTTTTGTTAGTTTCCATTCTTTTTATAAGCTACATTGTCTATCAGTTTTAAATGGTCATGAGAAATAATTCCACAATACTATTTTAATTCTTTCTTTCCTTCCTTCCCTTCTTCCTTTTTCTCCCTAGCAGATGCATCTCCAGCAGCGAACCTACAAAGACCCTGGTAACTGCACAGTAGGGTCAAGGACTCGTCAGCAGCACTTCATTATGCCACCAGCAGCTTTTGGACAGCAATTGATACGGAGCCAAATTTCAGAAGCAAGTGATTTCAGGAAAGTATCGATAATAAATAAAGGAAATATAGTCTTTCTATACTGAAATTTGAAATTTTAGCAAAGAAGATTCAACAACATTTTGAAAAATTTCTGCAAGCCTTGTGACACCACCAAGTTTGATAGCATCTTACTTGACTCAGGCCACTGATTTTGACACTGAATGAAGTATTAAGTAATTTTAACTTCTTTCAGTTGAGTCTGTGTCTAGCGTGGAAAAGTGTAAGAAACCAGAGGAAAATTACTTAAGTTGTCAAGGAGGAGGTAACTGTGAGAAAAGACAAGTTTCCTCAATATGGAATATATTATATATACTATTCCATTTTATTACTATAGTTTTTAATATATTAAAATAAAAATATGGGGTTTCCTCTGCCTTTGAATCCTGATTCAGCACTGCACAATTTAAGCATCTGCTTAAATTCAACAAGCTGTAAGTACCTGCTTAGAAGTAGGTATTTGTTATAGCACATTTCCTGAATATAGGTCATAAACTAAAATAAATCTTGGACTCTATAAGTACCTCTTATGCTTTCTATTTACATCTTATTTTGAAACAGCATGGCAAATGAAAAAAGAATGAATTTACGTTGTATGCATGTTACAAATATGAGTGGCATGTTTTGAGTACATTACGAGCTCATAATTAGTAAGACTTATGAATATGGTGGGTGAGGAAATAATTTCTCAAGCAGAACAACTTTTTAAACTTTCAAAATTCTTCCTTAGCCAAAACAATTTGTAAAGTTAATATCAGAATAATCTGAATAGATGCATAATCTGAAGGATTATAGTATCAGATTAAATTAATTAGTTGATTCTGAAACTTTTCTTTAAAAAACAGTTTCTGAAATCTACTCATTTTGAAATCAATGAAATTGAATAATTTGTAAAACGTCAAAGTAAACTCTTTAACTTCTTATAAAATTCCAGGGGGAATTCATAAAAGCAACTCCAGAGTTTGTATGAATAATTATTTTCTGACCAGCTAAATTACATACACTGAGGAAATAAGCAACATATATCTATATGTCCTACTGGAAAGCCAGCCACTTGTATGTTGGTCTCCATAATGATTATGGAACATTTGGTCTTTTTTGACGACTGTTTTTGAGTGGAGACTTGATATAAAGTCTAAACAATGACAGTGAAACACAATGACAGCATCAGACTTTAGGAATCTCTCCTAATCATACAATGTTCTCAGCATTTAACCAGGAAAACAACAAAACAAATTATAAATTTTTTGAACTTTAATTTAGAAAGTTTATTTAGAAAAACTGAATGTAGAGTTTTTTTCTGTATCTATAAACACACGTAAGTAAACTGGAATATTCAGCTTCACTGTTGATTTACATTTGATTACAATTGAGATTCCCAAAGGTAAATTTACTGAGGAAAGCAATCTAATAATTAATTTCCTTTTATGTTCATACGACCTAACATTAATATTAGGTTTATGCATATTCATTTTGCTGAACTATAGGATGAACAGTTATAAAACTAGAAAATATTAATAATTCAAAGTTACTTACGGATTAATATATTTATTTTATAATTTTTGTTTTCAAAACAAATGGGCTTTATGTGTTCTGCTGTAGAGATATTTGGCAATAAAGTGTTGTTACTTCAGCAAGAAATAAAGTCACTAGTCATCTATAAAAGTCTAAGCCAGAAAGAGCAGTCCATTACTGTACTCTCCCTCTGATGCTAACACTTAGAGCACTTTCTTGATTACCCTAAAAGGAATAATTGGAAGGATATGGTGTTTAATTATAGTTCTAAAGTTCCTCAGATTGAATTTGTTTCAAAGAAGGACTTCTAATTTAATGGTGCAAAGGAAGTGGTATTTCTAGCAGCAGGTATTATACAATTGTCAGACTAAGAATGTCAGAGTCATTATCTTCATGGAAACTTTTTTCTTAAAGGGTGCACCATTCAGAGTTTCTGTAGCTGTTAGGAATATTCTAAATTTTTCATCCATCAAATTAAACCCAAGGATTATCCCCAATGCAGAAGGAATGCTTTGATAACTCTTAAGCATGATCAAGATACATCTGCCTGAAGAAGAAGCCCCTGAATATCTGTTGACTAAAACCTAACATGGTATAAGGGTTGAAGCACTTTAAATTTGTTGGGTTTTATACCCCTAAGACATTGGCCAATGTCACAGTTGTGATACTGTTTTAAGTGGCCCCTATGCAATCCAGTCTAGACACTGTCATTTACTTTTTGGACAGTTTGCAAGATCGAGCCACAGCCAGGGAGTCAGGGATTGATTAGTATCTTACCATTACTATGTTTCATATATTTTATAAGACCTCTTGACTGAACTGAAGGTGCTCATCTTCTCATTACTCTTCAAACTTCAGTTCCCAGAATCTGGCACACTTCAACTCTTCCCAGTAACTCTTAACTATCATATTTATAATGCAGATAAAAAACGAAACCCAACACCCCCACCTTCTGCTGAGATATGAAGCACTATTGTCCTGTGAGTTCATCTTTGAATCGTTATTTCTACTCATTATTTTTAGACACAGCTCTCCCCACCACCTCATAAAAGTCATGGTATTTGGAAGGCTGCTCCAACTCAGCTCTCCACCACTCTTTACAACAGTGCAAAACCAAGAGTGACACAGCTGAATACCAGAGGGACATTTTATTTACGCTATGCTCAGTTGTTGACTGCATGTTCTTCCAACTGACAATCCCATTCTGCCTTTTCTGGATCTCTCTTCACCAAAAAAAAACCCCAAGCCTTTCCAGGAAGAAGAGGAACATCTTATTCTCTCTTTCTTTCTTCTGCAGATCTAAAATGCATAACGCTATTTCTAATGCAGTGGCAAACTGGCTGTCTCAGCTCACAATTTATACTACAGCCAAAGAGTTTGCAGAGGAACTGTCCTGCCACAGTATCCTCTCAGCCAACATTACAGCCATGCTCTAGGTCCAAAGAACAGTTAAACAAAGTCCCTCAATATATTAGACCAGGTAGGAGTGTTTAGATGTAAACATGAACCAACTCAAATCTTCACTCAAATCATGTTCAAACTACCTCTGAAGTTTGAGGGGAAGAAAAAGGGGAAAAAAGGGCCTGGTGACTTTTCCAGCTTCCCCCCCCCCAAACCCCCGATAGAAATGTGATATATATATATTTTTTAAAAATAAAAAGTAGTCCTCATGAGATTTCCTACCTATTAAAATAAATTCTAAAAAGGAAGATTCAGATAAGCATCCAAACATCTAAATAGTGCAAACCTCAACATTTTTGATGCTCAGCCACCATGACTAACCTCATGCAGGCGTTCTCTCATTAGCTCCAGCTGGCACAGGAATGAGGGATGACAACCATACAGAACATATTTATAGATACAGTGGCATTGACAAGCGTGTCATGTAATTGCTATGAGGTTTTTGCAACTCAAATTACACACATAAAAATAAATATTAAAAAATAATGTTCAGTAGGGAAGATAAAGAATAGAGTGGAAAGTGAGTAGCTCACTTGAAAATAATTTAGTACAGAGGATTGCACCATACTTGGATAGTTCAATGTGCTTGTGCATTACAAATACTCAGTTATGCAATTACATCAGCAGTTTACAATTATTAGCTATAGGTTACAGATATCTGCAGAGAACTTGTCTCTTTATGCATTTCTAACTTTCACCTTTGTTCTCGGCATACAGAGAGAAAAGGGACATTCAGGGACATGAAATGAAATGTGAAAAGGAGATGGTGTGTTTAAACTTCTATTTTCAAAAGGGGAAAGTGATTATCGCACTGATAGTAAAACACACAAAACTATTATTGTCAAAAAAAAGAACTGGAAAGGACGCAATCTGTTTTTTTCCTGATACCAGAAAATAGAAACAAGAACATACATTACTCGTGTTTACTTTTTTTTTTGGACTTCGATAGTGTAGCTGTGAGGAACTGTTCTAGCCTGTCAAGAGATAACGACAGCTTCAAAAGGAGGGGAGAAATTGGAGAACTGTAAAGCTGCATAAAGGACAGAAGCTAAATAACAAACACACCAGACGAAGGCTCTTACTTTGTTTTGAAGTAGAACGCTGCACAAAGCATGCCCACTACGACTATGCCAAAGACGATACAGGAAATAGACAGCACCTGGCGCTGGTACACTTCTTCGCTCTCTGTGAACAGCAAAATTGAGAATTATGAAAGCATCAGAAAACAATACTTGCAAAAAGTGGATTTCAGCACATCATGATTTCACTAATGATGGACAGATATGAGAGATTTGGAGGTCTGAGTTGGCCAATTCCTCAACAGAATGGATGCTTCTCTGAACCTCTCAACTAGATAAGGTCCATAAAGTCACGGCCTCCTAGGAATATTTTAGAAAATGGTTCAAATATACACTGAGAGATACATAATAATAAAGATCAGGACAGTTTAATATTTTCTCTGCTCTATATGCCATTTTTCAGCTTCTTTAGCTGGTGTACATGATAAAGAGCCCTACAACCATGGAGTTTTTCTGGCTTAAGGTAAGACTCATCAGAGCTCTCACAAGGTCCCACAAGATTCGGAGTTTTTTTTAGCTACACAACAACTGTAAGGTTTTTTTTGATTGAATGGTGATTACAATGCCTTAGTCCTATGTCACTCCCAGTACTTAAAGCTTACATAAAACATACCACAGTAAAAAGCTAATTCAATCAACTTGGATGGAACTCAATGACTACTATGCTAAAATGCACCAGATTCATGGGAGCTTACTTTTTAAAAAAGAAATTTCCTTACTAAATCTCATAATATTCTAAGTAATTTTAAAGCAGGAACAGAATGAAAGTAAAAAAAAAAAAAAGCTAAGAAAACAAGAGAGAACACTCATTCACGATAGCAGACAGAAGCTGATAGGCAAGCGGAGTTTCACACATCGAATTCATCAACAGCTCCTCAAGTGTTACATTTTATTATTTCAACTACTTCTCTAGTCCAAAGTGCTAACATGCTAAATAGATTGTTATTTTTTAAGATCAGTTTCTGCAAACATCCAACATACAAAGCAGTATTTTCATTCATATATTTTAGGTAGAAAACCAACATGTATGATTATCAAAGCACAGTACAAGCACTGTACACCGACAAACCTATACTTCCTTTCCAGGTTGGAGATCTTGAGTGCAGACAACCCCATCAAAATGAATACCAAACACATATGTCAAGTAGGTGACAGTAACTTCAAATTCCAGGTTTGTAACTCTCAGGTTCATAAGAAGAAAATATTGTATGACAATATCAAGGTGAATCTAGGCGAATATTGAAAAAAATCTACAACTACCTGGAACTTCAGTCAAATACTATCAGGTGTTACAATGACTGAAGACTATGTACAGTATCCTAACCAGTACTGATTATTAATTTCTCAAGAATGAATACCGCAGTGCTCTTACTAAACATTTGGAATCTTAAATACAGTCATTTCTCTCTTGTAGAAGTCCCAGTTCCTTTTCATATAAAACTATAAATACCAAAGCTTTATTTCTTCATTACTTCATTACCTCAAAGAACACCACAGTGATTCAGAGGCCATTTCTAAGATGTAAAATGTCCTCAGCTCCTGTTGACTTTTTTCCCTTATTTAATTTTGAAATTCTAAAAGTTGTGCTTTTAAAATATTGTCTTAAAAATAATAAAAAAAAATCAAATATAGTAACTTACACTTTTTGTATATCTAAAATATAACTGGAAAGGTGGTAGTTCAATAGGAAATCCTGATAACATTGCAGCAAAGCTGATTCCAGTAGACTTTTAGGCCCATTCCTCACTGGCATATGTAAAACCTGGATCTAGACTGTAAATTCTCACTGGAAATGAACTAAATGTTTACGGTTTTAATTTTTTTGTTTGGTTTGGCTTGTTTGTTTTTACTAGCCTGTGTAAACATAGTTATCCACCTTCCACTTCCACTGCAGTACACGCAGGACTAATCTTACAAATTTTGAGTTGAACAAAAAACAGAACCTCTGTTGAGGTCGATCACACTGCAAATAGTTACAGAATTGTTCAGTTCAGTAACTGTTAATCTGTTCTGCCTGACTAGCAATTTCAGCATCTACTGCCTAAGACCACAACTAAAACATATATACTTATGAACTGTAATTTCACTCAAACATTGCATATTATTAAAAAAAAATCTATTTATTAAAATAAACTGAATTAAGTAGTGTGTGCAAACAGGCTTAATTTTGCTTTTCTTTCAACCTAAGTCCTGATTAAATACTTCGTGGTTTTTTTTTTCCTGTTGGTATTGTTTTTTGAGAAATGGTGAGTTTAATGCAACTATGGTCTTTTGTCAGTCCTGAATAGCTACCCCTGACTTGTTAAAGATGCTTTAAAATATGTCTTACCAAGATACAAGCACTTCAAGACTGGACAATATTATCTTTCTCAAACAACTATGTGAAGCTTTAAGTCTTTTGTGTAGTTAGATTAATCCCTGTCACTAGCTTTCAACACATGCTGATCAATGCTTTATTTCCTTTTTGTTTATTTTGTACAGTGCATATTTCAAGAGCTACTTATTGATTAACTTTACTCCACTTCTTAGACACCTTTGTTAATTTCTTTAATATCCTTTAAACCTTTATTTATGTATTGGTCTCCACCATTTTTTGTCTCCAACATCTTAAAATATAATCAGTGAAGAATTTTTCCATTCTCTAAGCTTTTACACTGGCTTTTTTTAAAAAAAAAACAAACACAACACCCACCCACCTTCTAACTGACAGAAATGTAATCTCTCTCCCTCTGCAAACTTTGAAGGTCTCCTCATTGTGGCCTTGATTTAACCTCGCTATTGTGGTAAACACAGACAGCACAGCTGAGGTCCTCTCTAGCCAAGCTGTACTGAATAGGGCCTTTAAATAAGGCAGAAGGCTACAGGCAAGTACTGCAAAGCACTTTTGTTTTCACAAAACAGAAAGCTGTAGAAATTCAATGCGTAGGAAACAGAAGACTTGAAAATTCCTTCTCCTTAGTTGAAGATGTGCATAAACTTGTGCATCACGTATTTACATACTGAAGCAAAACCTCCCAAGGTAATCTAAACAGTGACTGAAATTGTGATAAATCTCTTTATTCACATATATTCACATATTTCTTGTGAAGTAAATCACCTTAATTACATTCTATTGAAATAAATACTCTAGGAAAAAGATTCCTCATTTAACAAGGAGCCAAGAAAATATTTCAGCTAAAACTAAAATATAAACTGCCATGGATATTCCTGGATAATCCAGCTGAAGAGTTAAGACTACAGAACATGAATTCCATCAAACATTCAAACTATACAAAAACACGTAACCTATACCAAAAGAAATACAACCACAGACCACAGCACTGAAAAATACCATAGTAAACTGTTTAGATGCAGACTGTTTTGTTTAACAAAAATTATGGAAAGATCATCCCGGAACATAAAGACAAGACGAACTCACATGGGACAGGGAAGCCTGTTGAAAGGCTGGTTTCCCATAGACAAGTCCCCATTCACTGTGTGCACTGTTACATGTTAGCCCATTTTTATTTATACTGTTCATTCTTCCTTATTTTAATTACTACTACAAAATTGTCTCTCTCCCTTCACCTCTGTCACATCACTCCACTGAATGTAAACTTCTCATGCCTTAAGTGCTCCTTTTTCTAAGCTTATCTCACACATTTGCCACCATTATGAAACACAAAATGACTAGTGGTGACCCACAGAAGCAAAGTTTCTTCCAGCACCCACATCACAGTCAAATTTCATCTGTCTGTTACTAAAAAAAGTACATGTCATATTTCAGGTACTAGGGTTTTGGCTGTTTTTAATTTTCTTGCTCTTTAAAATTTACTCTCAAAGGCTGTCATCTGTCTGCTTTATGCATGTGGAAAGACCCACTGAAGCATATACATAAGTCTTTAGAGGATTAAGAAATGTAGGGTAGGCACGTTTCTCATGATTGTTACTTCTAAAGGATATGGTAGTTTTGTTGTGTAAATAAACTGAAACTTGTCTCTTCTTTGTGACTTTATTATAAAAGGAAGAACACTGGTACAAGGTCCTTGAGAAACAACCACATATGTTCCCAACCATGTTACTGAGAAAAAATAATTTAGTTAATTAAAACAGATTATGTCAGTCTTTGTTAGCACCTAAATCCACAATATCATTACCAGCCATAATCACTGGATCCTCTAGTTCTATTGTGTATTTTCTCAATTCACTGAAGTGTCTTTGAAAGGTATTTCAAATATGAAGAACAGCATTGTGCACATGGTCTAAGTAAAATGATAAGAAACAAAAATAGTAGCTTTCCCCCTTGTGGTGCTTATTTCAATGGCTCTTGAAGAAAATCTCAATAGCAAGAGTAATTATTGAATATTCAAATGGAATCAACTGAGAAATTACAACATTTACCATACGAATGCATTACTTAAGCTTTGCTCTATAAAGAAAAAATACGAATAAGAACACAGACTAATTTTTTTTTTTGTTGGAAGTTTCTATTCTCAGCCTAAAAAGCAATTTAAACTCTAACAGCATTCAGCACTCCCTTACCTTCCTACCTCGCCGAATGGACCTGCTCTGCATTGCTGCAAGTAACAACATGCTACAGGATAAACATGTAAAGCCCAGTATCTTGTCATTGGTATAGATGACTAACAATTCTTTTCCATGTGCCTTCTCCCATCCATAAATGCCAATGAAAACTATGAAAATAGTTCTATGACTTATTTTCCACCAGAAAATCTAGAGATTATGTTCTTCACCTTTTCTCAATTCCTGGCATTTATGAGGAAATGTGGCCTAACGGATGGAACGTAAAAACAGCTTTTCCTCAATAAATTACGATACAGCATGGAGGCAGGCTTTCTTTCTGTCCCCATGCAAAAACTAAGCCATGCAGGTGCAGTGAAGCGGGCACTGTCATCTCTGCTGTAACCTGACTGCCACAGGCTTTTTTCATTTCCCTTCATTCCCTGCCTATGCATTTTCTGATGCACCTCTTAGTGTGCCATATTGCACTGGAACGTCCTGCAGGGCTAGAACCTCACTACTGAGGTGAAACTCAATAGTATCATTTACCACTTACACTCTTGGTGTACTGCATCCCCAAAGTCCCATATACAACAACAGAGGAGG